GGGGGCGGGAGCGGGTGCCACCCCCGGGCCCTGGACGCGTTCGCCGCCGGGTAGGACCGGGGGCGGGGGCTCCACCGATCCCGGGCGAAAGACCGGGCCCGTGCCCCGGAGAGCGAGGCAGGACACCGAGAAGCGGCGTGAACACCACAGGTCGCCGGGGCAATATTAAAGGCGCTTTAATGCGCGCATATTCCCCGCCGGGACAGCCGGACCCCGGGAGGTCCTCGGAGTCGAGAAGGACCAGGCTGACGACCGGCGCATCGCAGCCGGCCCCTGCCCACGAACGGTGGGGGGCTTCCATTCGCTGTGGTGGCTGATTGTGTGCCTGGTCCCCCCCTCGGCGGATCTGTGCTTCACACTGGGCAGGCGGCGCGCCAGCTGCTGGTGACTCGAACCCCAAACATGGTAACTCGATCGCCGGCGCATGACCGGCCGGAGAGGCATGATCGGGCCTGATCACGCGCCGGATTGTGGACTCTACAGTTGGCGGTTCCGCCTGCGCCCGCCCGGCGGGCAGGGCGGCATAGAGCCTACGACTAGCGGTGTGCTGCTTCCGGCTCCCTCCCTCGGCCACTCTCTCTCGGTGCCAGCATTTTGCCTGCATGAGGGATCCCACTGCCAGCCAAATATACCAGCCATGGTTGTCGATCCGCGGGCCCCAGCACAAGCGCGAGGATGATGCATGCAGGGAAAAAACGACTGGTGATGGGGGGGGGACAGGGATTTCTATTGTTGGTGCGAGGGCGCATGTGCGCCTCCTCGCCAACCTGGGCAAGGGTGTGGGGGGTGGAGGGAAAGGGCGGGGGGTGGCGGCGGGTGGGGAGCAAAAGGCAAAGCAGCTGTGTCCGGTGACCCCGGAGGCACGCAAGGGGGGGGGGGGGTGTTGGCGCGCATCGGGCGATGCGCGAGGCATGCGCCGACGCGCACACAAACAAGGATCTATCTCGTCGAGGGGGCACGCGCGCTCGCGCTCTCCTTTCCTCTCGCGCGCCTTCTCTCTTCCTCTCTCTGGATCGTGCGCCTGGTCGGTCGTCGCTTGCTCTGTCTCTTCGAATACATACGGTCACTTGCTTGCCTCCGTGTCACCCCGCGAGCGAGGCGCCGGAGCATGGCGAGCCATATGGGAGGGAGATGGGGAGGGGAAAAGAGTGAAGGACAGGGAGGGGTGTGGCGGGCCGCAAGAAGGCGCGCGCGCGCGCGCGAAGGGGGCGGCCGTGCGTCTATATGGCGCGGCCTTGTGTGCATATGCCCGCATATACAAAGGCGGACACACAGAGGCAGACACACACACACACACACACACATGAGGCTACGCGCGCGCGCACGGCCACCACTTCTCTTCGGCTGGCTGGTCCTCGGACCGCTCTCGGGTCCTCGCGCGCCCCGCGAATGTGCCCCCGCGCGCGCGCCACTTCGTCGGTGTCGGTTCATGGGCCCCGGGCCGTGCAAGATATGTCCTCCTCGGAGGGGGCGAGCGTGTGCCCTTTTTTCTCCGCCGAAGCCTGTATCTTTCACATGCACTCGCAATATATGCCAGCCTCCAGGCCGGTGTGGGCGCGCACGGGGCGCGTGCGGGGCGTGCGCATGTGTGTTGGCGTGGACCGACGCCCAGGACAGCTGCCTCTACTGAATGCCGAAACTGGTGGCGTGCTCGATGGCCACCTCCAACTTCTCAAGGAGCTGGGCCTTCGAAGTGTAGGGGGGGATATCGATGCGGTTGAAGCTGGGGTGGGGGACGCGGGGGGGGCGCGCCACAAGTGCGGGGCCAGAGGCGGACATGTGAGCATGTGCGTATGTGCGAGAGAGAGGGAGGGAGGGAGGAAGAGAGAGGATGCCTGCACGCCCTCAGCATGGACACCTCCCTCCCCACCAAGAGGAGGGAGGGAGCGGCCGGTCATATGGCCGGGCGCGGGAGGGAAGTGGACTGGTAGGCGTGTATGCGTGTGCGCGGGAGATGGGCCGCGCGGAGGGGAGCGGGTGGGAAAGGGAAGGCCGTGTGTGCGTACCATGTGTGGCTCTGAGGCAGGGAGTCGCCCGAGTGCGAGGCGTCCCACTTCTCGATGCAAAAGCGCCGGATGCCGGACGACCCGACCAGGTCGCCGAAGCCGGTGGCCGGGACACGCTCGGACCCGGTGACAAACTGCAAGAGTTTCCGCCTCTTGGAGGGATCCCAACTGCGAATGACCTGAGTCGCGTGCGCGTTTTTTTTCCATCCCGAGAGTGTCAGAGAGCGCAAGAAGCCATCCGAAGGTGCGGTCCCCTTCATTGGCGGCCCAACCCCCCGACCACCCCGGAAAGCTAGCCAAAGCAACTAGGTGCGCAACCGGCGCGCGCGCGCGCGCGTGCGCGCGTAAGCACACCCCCGCCCCAGAGGCCAGGATGGGCGGGAAAAACCCGGCACGGGGGCGGCAGATGTCGCCGGCCGGGGGAGAGGAGACGCGGGGAATTTGCGCCCCCCCCCCCCCCCCCCCTGCACAAGTGCCCTGCACCATGGGCCGGATATAACGCACCTCCCAGAACCAAACGATCTGCGGGTCAACAGGGGTGTACTTCTTGTAGATGGTGTTGCGGAACCAGTCGTCGAGGTCGATGTCATCGCGGCCGCCGATCAGGAGCTGAATGCGCGCGTGCGTGGGTGCGGGCAGGCGCGGCGAAAAGGGCCTCGAATGTCAGCACATAGGTCCGCCCTGGGCAGGCGGCTCTCCCCCCAGACCACAGCACTGATTGTGCATATGTGTGCATGTGTGTGCGCGCGCGCACCTCCAACTCCGATGGCTCAAATGCCTGCAGCATGGAGCGCGGGATGACCTCGTGCAGGCCGTGCAGGATGGCCGTCATCTGGGCCTCGGTGCCATGGGCGCACCGCCATGCGACATACTTCTCCACATACTCATGCTTGTTGTCATCGGTCACTTCGATGTCCTCGCCGCCGGGAGGGGGGGGGGGGGAAGGAGGGGCATCCACGCATCCACGGAGGGGAGGGGGTCCCAGGGCGATGGGGAGAGCAAATCGTCAGTTGCGCATGTTTGTGCGTGTATGTGCAGTTGTGAGGCCATTCGCGCGCGGGGAGCAGGCCGGTTCTCTTGCCGGCAAGCCCCCCACCACCAAGCAGGAGGGCCGGGGAAATGGAGCGGGGGGCAGGAACAGGGCCGGGAACGCACCGGGTACCAGCTCAACGCGGCGAACCTGGCCGAGGTATTCGTAGGCCGCACTGAAGTTCTCATAGATGACCCCCTCGATGGGGTTGGACAGCATCCAGTTGAAGGACCGGTAGTGCTCGGCATCGATGGACTCCAGGTCCGACAGTGCAACGCTGTGCCCGAGGAGACTGCGTATGGTGGCGGCGGCGGGGGCGAAGCAAAGTGTGTCAGCGTCTGGCCAGGGCCACGGGCAAAGGGCAAGCGCGCGCGCGCGTCGAGAAGCAGGCCCGCCCAGTGGCCTGGCGTCCCTGATCCCTGCGCCTGGCCTCGCCCCCCCCCCCTCGGTTGGTACTCTTGTGTCCCAATGTGGATTGTGCGCGTACCGCTTGTAGAAGCTCGTGACAAAGAAGGCATCCAAGTACTTGTCGTGTAGGATGGCCATGCCAATCAAACGGCCTGGGCGGCGGTCGAGGTGACAGAGAGCAGCAGGCGTCCCGCGTGGCCAGACAGGGCATATCAGTGGATGTGGGCAAGTGCGTGCGTGTGCACGCCTGGTCGGCCGCGCACGAGGGCAATGTGGACGGGCCACCCCCGCGCCCCTTGGCATGTCCCCCCCCCCCCCCCCCCCCCAGCCGGCGGTCCACGTACCGACAAAGCGGAAGTACTCCAAATGCGAGGGATTGACCCCGCTGACGCGGCTCACGTCCAGCAGGTACTGGCCGGACTTGGCATACTCGAAGAGCCCATAGTCCGGACTGAAGGCCAGCTTGCTGACGGCGGCGAACCACTCGCGCTGCACGCCGCCATAGTCTAGGGCGCTCTCGCCGGCGAAGGTGACATTCAGCGGCCGGCGGAGGTGCTGCGGGTCGGCCCGGATGACCGCCCGGTAGGAGTCGTCCAGCAGGCGGGACCGGCGCACGCGGATGTTGAACTTCTGCACGCGCTGCGCCGCGCGGCGCGAGCTCGAGGAGGACCCGGAGGCCATGGCCGCCGCCGCGCGGCGGCTGCTCGAGGCGGCCGATCCGGCCGACCCATCGTCCGGGGCGCTGGCCGCCGCATTCTTGATGACATTCAGCGCACGCTGCAGGGCCTTGTGCTTGACGGAAAACCGGTCCACCAGGTCGCTGGAGTGTCGCGGGGTGGTGGCGCCGGCGGCGGCCCCGGGCCCGGGCCCGGCCCCGGCAGGGTCCGTCTGGGGCTGCTTTGCCGGCGCCACCGAGAAGGCCGAGGCCTCCTCCGTGTCGCCAGTCTCCGGGCGGGCCTGCTGCTGCTGCTGCTGCTGCTGCTGCTGCGAGCGCTGTGCGCCGGCCGCGGGGGCGAGCATGGACGAGGAGGAGCCGGCGGTGGGGCCCGGCCCGAGGGCCGCATCGACGGCCACGGTGACCGAGGATGCCGAGGCCGAGGCCGCCCCCGACGCCGGGGCCGAGGGCGGCCGGGCCGGCAGCGGCGGCCCCGCCCCGGGGCGCTGCCGCGCGGCCAGGTACTTGTCCAGGGTGTACGGCTGCCGGGCGGCCGCCCCGGCCGAGCCGCCCTCAGCCACCATGCCCAGGGCCGAGGCCAGGGTGCGCGTCGAGCTCCCCGGCCAGGAGGGGTTCGTGGCGCCGAGGCCGCTGGCGTGATTGCGGAAGACACTGGGCGGGGACATCTTGGCCACGTTGGTCTGGAAGTTGTGGTAGTAATAGAGCCCATGGCCGTCGGTGTACATGCGCCAATCGCCGAGGGCCCGCGGCCCGTGGTAGTTCGGGTCGCCGGAGGCCACCGGCCGAGCGGCGGGCAGGTGCCCGGCGGCCGTCGGGCCCGGGCCGGCAGCCCGACGGCCGGCCCCCGCCCCGACGCTGCTCCCGATCGACCGCGCCCGCAGGAGGTCCGCCCCGCCGAAGGGGCCGGAGCGCGGCTGTGTCGCCGGGCCAGGAGCGGCGGCGGTGCCGGTGGCAGCGGCAGCAGCCGGGGCACTGGCCGACCGGGTGGCCGACCGGGGGAGGGTGCTGGAGGCGGTGGTGGTGGGCGGCGGGCGCGCGGCGCCGGCCCGGTGGGCCGTGCCACTGCGCACCGAGGGCGACTGGTTGGCCGGCAGGGTGGGCCGGTCCCACTGGGTCTCGCGCAGGTGGTGGTTGGCGTAGTAGCGCCGGCCATCATGGTCGAAGCGCTCCTCCCAGCTGCGGGCATCGGCGGCATGGGGCCCGGCGTGTGCAGCCGGGGCGGAGGACCGAGACAGGCGGCCGGGCAGCGGGAAGGTCAGGCACGGAGCGCGCGCGCCCGCGCATGGGGTCTGTCGGCGAAGGTGGGCAAGGGCGTGCACAGGTGAATGCCCGCGCGGTGGCGGGCCAGAACGCACCCTTCGGGCAGGCCGGCCGACGTGGTGAGCCGGGCCGCGGCCGCCGGCCGAGGAGGAAGCGCCGGCTGGTGCGAGGTGACCACCACCGTGGCCCCGCCGCTGCCGGCCCCGCCGCCCATGGCCGCGGCCTGCCCCATGCTCAGCACCCCGATGGAGGTGAGGGCCGCCGCCGTGCCGGACAGGGTGAACAGCTGGGCCGACGGGTTGGCAGCCGGGGGGATGGCCGCCGGCGGCCCCTGGGCCGCGTCATAGAAGTCGCTTTCGTCGCTGGTGCTGTTGGTCAGCGGCACGGCCGGCGCCTGGATGACGGTCAGATGCCCGCCGGTGGACAGCCGCCGGCCGGAGACGTGGGGATTCGAGACCCCCGCCGGCCCCCGGGGGTCGGTGGGCGAAGCGGGCGCGCCGGGGCGCGGGCGCGCCACATGCAGCGGCAGGCCCCCGGCGGCCGGAGGCCGCGCGACCGGCGGCCCGGGATGGATGGAGACTGGGTGTGGCCCAGGGGGAAAGGGGGTGGGGGGAATGTCAGCAGGGGGGGGGGGGGGCAGGCGCGCGTGTGCGACCCCCCTTGGGGCCGCTTGAGACGCGGAGGAGGGCCGCCGGGCTCCGGCGGTCGGTGGAGTCCACGCACTCTGGAGGTGGAGTGTGGCGTCGCTGCCGCGGCCGGGGTATTGCATCAGGCGACGCCCCTGGCGGTCGGTGAGCCTGCGCGCCAGAGGCAGC